CGCCCAAGACGTCGCCGAGAGCGAGCCGGACGTGGCCTGGCCGCAGAGGAGAGCCAAGCCTCCGCCCCAGAGACCTGGAGAGGGTGCCAAGCATGACAAGAGGCCTCCTCCGCCTTATCCTGGTCCAGGGAAGCAGGCGTCAGCAGCGGCCCACCAGCCCGCGGAGCCACCGCTGTGGAGGCCGCAGAGGCCGGAGGAAGGCTCTGGAGCCGCTCTGGAGGAGGGAAGCCAAACAGCCGAGCGGGAGCATCAGGCCGCCCAGCAAAAAGTGAGCAGCGCCCACCCCGGTCCTTCCAGCGATCAGAACAGTAAGACCTTGGGGGACCCCAGCTGGCTCGACTGGCAGAGAGAGCGGTGGCAGATCTGGGAGCTCTTATCCACCGACAACCCCGATGCCCTCCCGGAAACGCTGGTATGAGCCCCACAGGCTCGAACCCTCCCGTCCCCAGCAGCCTTCTTCAACTCAGTAGGGGAAAAAGTGGGTGTGGAACAATTGGGCACTTCCTTATTTTTCTTCCTTTACACTTAAAAAAAAAAACCACGAGAGAAAACTCAGTTCACTTAAAGATAGAGAGCACTATTACCCTGGCCATTTATAATAAGATTCTATTGCATAGCCAGCCTTCAGAAAAAAACAAAAACAAAAAATGGCTGTTAATACCCAGTCTAAAAGCTGTTCACATTGGCTCTGTATGCGGCAAAACTCTCGCTTTGGTATCGCTTAACTGTATTTATGTGTCTTCAGTTTTGACTCTTGTATATCTGTAACAGATTATATATGATAATCGTATATGTTATATTCACAAAAAACAGAAGGAACAAAATTTTTTAATCACTTCACTGATTCTAAGTAATGAGAGTCTGTAGAATGTTCTAGAATATGCACAAGCGGGTTTCTGTGCTTTTGCCATAGCTTTTTAACTGAGGACAGCCCTTCCTTCAATGCCTAAGGAAAACACTAACAAAACAAAGTAAAACAGAATATGACAAGCCATATTTTTATATAGTAGTGAGATACAAAAAAGTATAGTCACTGAATGCTTTTTCATATTGAATACGTTTTAAGGAAAATATTAAATTTGATACATTATGGAATATATTTTTAGAATCTGTTTAAGAAAGAATTCAGTTAATGAAGCAAGAGAAAGGCCGTGCCTGACAAAGAAAGAATAATTAAGTTGTACTTCCCATTTTAGGTCAAACTCAATTTTATATAGACCATATATAATATATATTTATGATGTACGATTTTTTTTTCAAAACTGCAAACTGGAATCCAACTATAAAGTGTTTAAGAATCAAAATAGAGTATTCAAATGACAGAACTTGGTTTTTCCTTTTGCCCCATAATCAGTATTAACCAAATTTTATGCAGTGCTTTGTAAAGTAAATCATATTTGGAAGAAAAAAAACTAAAGCTTTGTATTTACATTGTGCCAAAGGCTGAGGAAATGTTTTCTTTGGTAACTTTCTGTGTAATGTAAAACTCCTACCGCACTTCAGTAGTAAATTTGAAGTTTTTCAAGTGCAAAACAATATTTGACCAGCAGGTGGCGATTCGCTTCAGTATTTTATGAGATTTTTTTTTTCACTTCATAAGGGAATGTGTATTATAGAAAAAGAATTTTTTTTATAAAACATGCTACATCTTAATTTTCATGTTGGCGATGACATTTTCAGTGGTGTTTCTTAAAGTTCTTGTGCCATAATGAATAAAAAGTTAAGCAAAGGCTTTGTTCCCTGGCATTAAATCTAATGCATGAACTCACGCTTCATTCCAGACATGCACATTCCGGACTATCTACAAGTCCAAGTGTAAGAAATTATGGCACTACTGTACATAGACAGCTAAAGAGCTAGTAAAAAAAAATATCAGGTGGCTTGGGGACATAACCCAGTGACACTGAAGCATTTAGAAATTTATATTTGTTGTAAATGAAGGCTGATCGGCATCCAATTGAAACTCAGTTGTCGATGAGAAAGCGGCTTGCTACAGGATGGGAACCCAGGTTTCCCAGCTGCTGGACGGGTGCTGGCCAACACAGCCCTTGTCAATTACATCTGCACTAGAGGCCTTGGGTGCTTATTTTGCTTCAGGGCTGAAGTAATGCCATCTAGAAGTGGTATCTGATGTTTCTTACTGGGAGAATGATGGGGATAGCTTCAGGCTCTGCCATTGGGTCCAGCACTTCTGCCACTGGCCGGGACTCGGGAAGGATTCCCTTGCCAGCCTCCGGGTCTTCCTGGCTGCCCACACGGAACCCAAAGTTGTAAACAAGATCCAGAGCAAACGCTGTCTTCTGGTGGCTCACAGGTTGCTTTCCTGGGCCACCTACTCCCATCCTACTCCTGCTGACCCTGTGTTTTCTTGGCTTTGAATTCGACCCCGGTCTGGCCGGTTCTCTCTCTCCTTTCTGGACGTGACTGTCTAATGAATATATGAGACCCCCTCTGTCACTCGGTGCTTGCCCTAATAGTCCTGGTTTTTAAAACTTTCAGATCAGATGGCCCTGCGGCTGATGTCTGTCTCACAAGAATAATGAAAAGTATATCTACTAATAGTCAGATCTAGAATAGTGAGTCCAGAAAACATAGCTCAGAATATTTTTTTAATAATTAAATTGTGTGCGTGTGTTCTGTGCCTGTGTATGTACATGTATGTGCATGTAATGAACAATATTCACTCTCCCTCTTTGGATGGTCTGAGCCCAGTGGCCATACCTTTAGTTTAGTGCGTGAAAGCATGTTTCTTAGATGCTTTTATCACATTGACACACACAGGACCCGAAGACCTGAGTGGAAATTGGAGTCATTTCTAACACCTTGTAAATAACATAATACCTAACAAGAAAAACATAAACTCTTTCAAGTTGGACAAAACCATTTAGCAGGCAGTTGAGGTTACTCATTCCCGGGAGCAGAGAGCTCCTACAATCAAGAAAAAAGCTACGATGTGCCGCAGATGTCTCTGCATCTGAATACTCAGTTACCGTGTTTGCGTCTCTGGCAGCGGGCAGAGTGACGGTGGCAGACAATACCAAATAGGACTTTGTCTAGATCTAAGTAACTATTAACATACATTTGTTGTGGGTTTTTATAGAAAAAAAACTCTTATACCAATGGAGTTTGTGCAAATTAAAGAAATTTCTAAATAAGCCCAGCTTGCTTCTTTTCTTATGCACATTTTAATACACATCTGCTTGGCAGAGCAACAGCCCTGGGATTAAACCTAAGAAGTTGGCAGAACAGAGTCCAGGCCTGTGGTGTCTGTCAGTCTGATAAGCAAACTGCAGGAGGTGGAGTCAACTGAACTGAGAAGGAAGACAATGACAGGGGAAGAGTCACATGGGGATGAAAACAGGACATCTCCACCGGGCAGAATTGTAAAGCAGGACAAAATCAGCAGCAAATGTTCTTCAGGAGAAAAAAAATCCAAGCCAAAGGAAAATTCCAGTAAAGTTTGGAATTCTTCGGCACGGTCCAGGTGGCGGATGGTGTGAAGATGTGGAACTGCAGTCAGTGGTCTCTGGGGTGGACTCCTGGCCTGGCGTGGCCTGTGGTTCCCCACGGCACGCACAGCACCGACCCCAACTGAAGGGCCCTGGAGGTTGCCGAAGGGTCAGAAGATTCTCTCAAGTCAATTTGACCAACGTCGGTTCAGCCTAGAGTGACCAACTCATCCCAGGTTGCCTGGGCCATCCAAGGTTTAGTAATAAAAGCCCCACATCCTGGAGCACAGGCCATGCTACTAGCTGGCATGGAGGGGAAGGTGGGATGGTACTTGTCAGGGAAGGTCGCCACATAAGATACAGGGAGCCCAGTTCAATTGGAATGTCAGATAAATGACTGGTCTAATTTTAGTGTAAGTATATGCCCTGCGCTATCCAGGAGTTACTTACACCTAAAAAAAGATCCTTTGGCCCAGATATTACATGGGACACACATATTAATAAAGGATTTGTTGTTTATTTGACTTTCCAATTGAACTGAGCATCTATTTGCTAAGTCTGGTAACCCTAACCTGCCGATTTGATAGCCACTCGGTCCTCAACTGCCTCCTTGACATCTGCACCCAACGCCCCACGGTGCCTCAACCGTCCGGAAAGGGCCAGCTGCAGCTTCGACTTCCACGCGGAGCCACGTGGCCTCCAGCCCCCGCCCACTTCTCCGTCCAGGGAGTCTCACCTGCAGCTTCCCTGGGATCCAAGGCTTGTTGACTCCCACAGGTGTCTCCTGTTTGTCCAGCCTCACCAGCTCAGTTCGAGCCCTTACCCCCCGCCCCGGTTACCGCGGCAGCCCTCCATCTCCGCCCTCCCCCTTCCTCCACACCACCACCATCACAGCTCCGAAACGCGCATCTTGTCCTAGGCACATCCCTGCTGAAAAAACCTTGAGGCCCTCTTTTCCCTCTGGCCTACAGGACGAAGTCCACACTCCTTTGATAACATCAAAACGCTCCACAATCTGGGCGCCATCTGCCTTCAGCATCTCCTCTCTCCCCAGCACGCCCCCCCCCCTGCTCTGGCCGTGTGCGGAAAAATCCCCATTCCCACGTACAGGACACGCTCTCCCGCCTGTTCCAAGGGCCCCCAGTGCGCTTCCTTGCTTTTCCTATTCAATCAAACGCTCATTTTCTCCTCAGATTAGCCGGAGCCGGCCCCTCCCACAAGCACGCGGAACCACGACTTACTCCGGCGCCCGGTGTACGTGACCTGGTAACCGGCGCCGCAGTGCATGATGGGTGCCGCCATGTTCCACCTGCCGGCCGTGGCCGCCCCGTCCCCGACGGCGGGGACTGTGTCCTCAGGACCGCGCAGAGGCCCGACGTGAATTTGCTGTTTGATAAACGTTGGCCGAATGTGTGCATATAACTAAGATGGAGCAGGTTACCATGCAGTGGAGAAAAAATACAAGGACATCAACCTCGCGGCTAATTCAGAGGTAGGGCTTTATTTTTCAAATAAAAGGGTTTTTGAAGTAAGGAGAAGGCAGTCTGAGGAGAAGCACAGAGACCCTGTCTCCTAACCAGCCATGTCCCACAAAGACGCGGCACCGCCGCTCTGTATTGTAGGGGACAAAGAGGGCGGGTAGCTTGTGATGCATGATTTCTTTATTCCTGAGCTTTGAACTTGAATAGTAAACGTGGGAAGCAAATGTGTATTTCCATGCTTCCTGCTGGGTGCTCAGTAAATATTTAATGATTAAAAAACCAGTCACGTTTTAAAGTGTGGGCTTCAGGGTCAGGGAGAACACGGTTTGAGTACTGGCTTTATCATTCATTCGCTGGTATCCGTTACTTTGACTCATTTTCCGTTTCCTCAGAGTCGTCGAAGCATAACAACATGCAACTGCCAGGATTATTGTGAGGGTTAAGTGGGGAAATGCCTACAGTAGTGCCAGCCATGCGACAAATATTCAATGCAGTATACTTGGTGTCCCATGTGACATCATTTTAGAAAAAACAAATTGGGATCTTCTGCTGCAAACCGCAGCTACTACAAGCTAACACTTAGTAACAATGCCAGCTCTGGTCTAAGTGATTCACTAACGTGAGTTCATTTAACCCGCGCAAGCCGTAGACAGGAACCATGACTAGCCTTATTTTCCAGGGGGCACAAAGACTCAGAGTGACATCAAAGGAGTTGCCCAAGGTCGCACAGCTGGAAGGTGGCAGAAGCAGGATTCGGTGGCTGGCCATCCAACTGTGCCAACTGGCTATTTGGACAGAACCTCCCGATGTCCACTAGGGGGAGCAAAGCTCTTTCTTATCCTCATACAAACCAGATGCCAACATTTGCCTAGAGGTGGAGAGGGCGGAGGGAAGGGAAAAAAAGAAAAAACTTCTCCTCTACCCGCTTAAGTTAATTGCCTGGGGCCTATAAATTAAACTGACAAAAGACAGTTTGACAAGAGAAAAAGGTTTATTTCCTATGCATACAGGAACCAACAAAAGAAGTATCTGGCTCCTTAAATGGGTAAAGTTAAAGATTTACATACCCAACCTAGCAGGGAAAAGGGATGGGGGAGGAACAGCTTCTGTGGGAAAAACAAATAGGTTTATTTAAGAAAAACAAACGGGTTTTTTGGAGACCAGACAGGAGATAAGAAAGTTTGTGATAACAGTTGTCTACGCAGGTACAGCAGTCGTTCTGTCTCCATCAGGGCTGTAAAACTCCCCCAGAGGGGGGATTTATGGTGGCTTCACTTCCCAGAAGTTGCTTTTAGTCTGATAAGAGAAGCTCGAGGAGGCTTTTTTTCTGCATCTGTTGAATCTCAAATGTCTTCAGTTTAAAATAATCTTTATGCCAAGTCTGGGGTTCCAAGTGGGTCTTCTCCACAAGGGTAAAATGAATTAGAGAAGGAATTAGAAACATGCTTCTTCCTGCAGTAAAGAAACAGGCAAGTCAGTGTTCAGAGCCCTCTTCAAGTCAAATCACTTGATCAAAGACCATGGAGCTGGGTCCAGAATCTGCATGTGGCCGTGAGGGGAGCCTGAGGGCAGATGAGGTGCCTGGCTCCTTTTCCTTCCTGAAGCTTTGCAGGAGGCCAGCTGGTTGCTTCACCCTCCCGCTGGCCTCCCACCAAGAGACTCCCTTCAGTCTTTATCCCATCTGGGGAGGGGCGAATTCTGCCTTGGCCATGAGCACAGCCGAGCTTGGCAGGACTGGCTTGCTAGGGACCAAGCCAGTGCTGGTTTGCAACATCACTGCTGAACAAAGTGTGCAAAGA